TTTCTCCTTCCGTAAGTCCTGTTTGTGGCTGCGCACGCTGCAGCGGTGAGTGGCAGCCAACATGGGCAGATCTCATTTGCTTTTGATGAAACTGCATTTTCAGTGGATTACATCTTTTTATCAATTTTTTTTTCCTCCAGTGCGCCTTAATTAGGAGAACAAAGTCCTTGAAAGCCTTGTCTTGCCCTTCCCCTCTCTTTCTGTACACAAAGTCTTCTCTCACAGGGTCTGGATCAGGCTTTTTTTCTTTTCATCAAACAGCTCAGCAAAGCTGACAGATTGACAGTCATTAAATATAAAAACTTTATTTCACAATATCGCTACATTACATGTTTCAAATGAAAAATGACACTTGCTTAAGGCATAAATTGTGGTTCTTGGTTTTTTTCCCCTACTTCTGCCTTTTTCCTATGAAGACAAAGGTATTATTCTTTTTATTACGGTAATGCAAAAAAATCTCTTTCTTGCATCTCAAATTAAAAGAGGGGAAGCTTGCTATGTGCCTCGGATAATGATTCAGCTATTGATCCAGAAGATGCTTTATTAGATTATTTTGAGACAGCCAAATGTAATTTAATACCTATTTATTTTCTATTCCTATGCCAGCCCGAGATACAATATTTTCTGCACAAAATTAGTACTTTATCCTTTCAACCTCAAAGACAGATTGCATTATGCTCCTTTCTCGGATTAGTTTGGGGAACTTTTTCAACAAAACATTGATCTTGATGGTTCTTGAGAGTCTTTTAACACTTTGAAGCCAAAACCTCAGCTGGGATCAGTGGGTTCCAGGCTACTCTTTCTTAAGCATTAATGCAAGAACTAGTGATGTCAGATAAAAAAGTGACAGAGATTCCACATGAGAAAAATAGAGGCAAAGGGGAAAAATGGGCAGGTTACTGTCTCCATCTCCCCCGAGCTGCCTCCCAGGCCAGCAATCACTGGATTTTCTGCAAGGTTACTTATCTCCAGTTAATTTGCCTTGCTCTAGGGTTAGGCAGGCACGAGGTCAGGAGGAAACAGCAGAAGCTCCAACTTTATTAAAGATCATCGGGAATTGTGTAGAGACCTCACAAATGAGGAAAGGAGGAATTTGAGGTTGCCAGAGTTGAACTTGCACTCCAGAATACCTTGAGGGATTCATTTACATCACCATCCTTTGGCCAGCCTGTCACCACTGGGCAAAACAAGAAACAGCTCGTTACCCTGTGGCAGTAGCCACAGCACGGGGAAAATCCAGGGTCCTCTCTCATGGCTCTGGAAGTGTCCAAATCAAGCTGCCGGGGCAGTTTCTGATAAAGCACTGGCAGTCAATTGTTCCCCTTCCAGTTAATTTGACTTGCTCCAGGGTTAGGCAGGCATGAGGTCAGGAGGAAACAGCAGGAGCTCCAACTTTATTAAAGAAGGGAAAAGTGCAGGGGGATCTTTAAAGGGGAAAATGACTTCCTCTGCAACAAATATAAAAAATTACATCCAGGGTCCTCTCTCATGGCTCTGGAAGTGTCCAAATCAAGCTGCCGGGGCAGTTTCTGATAAAGCACTGGCAGTCAATTGTTCCCCTCTTAATGAAAGCTTTCAAACTCCCGGACTCCAGATATGGGGCCATGGGTGATTTCCCTGCTTTATTTCTCTGCTTGGGCCCTGGAAGGGAAAAGGGCAGGGGGATCTTTAAAGGGGAAAACGACTTCCTCTGCAACAAATATAAAAAATTACAAGTTAAACATCACACAAAATGATCCGATGTCACAAGAAGCACCATGAACCAAAGGCAGTGGCGCTGCCTCGCCCTTTGCTCGCTTTCTGCAGCCCTCCCCGAGAGATCACCCAGGCTGCCGGGGGCTGGGGAGGGACCTCCCTGCCATCACCACACCTGTCTCTCATGTTTTGGGTTTAACCGCAACAAATGCACCGGCTCTGAAGCAACCAAAAAACGATGGAGCATCACTAGACAGAGCACAGGTGGTGAACCTGAGCAGGATCAGGGGCTTTGGTTTCCTCTCGGGTGTTCAGCTCTTCCAGCGCTCTTTAACTCCTTGCATAAACGGGGAACAGCAAGGAGACGCCAACCTTCAGATGGAACAGCGCAAGCTGAGTGAGGAACAAGCTCTGTCGACACAGATGTGCCCTAAAAATTGAACTCTGGCTTCAAGCAGCACAAACTCGTGTCCTAATCGTACCTCCTAGTGGCCATTAAGCTGTCCAGATGACATTACACTCTGGTGCTAATAAGCCATTTGTCCATCTGGTGCGTGTGCAGATAACAGCCCTTCTCAATGATACTTCAAAAGCGAAAAGTATCGGCTCTATAAATAGACAGATAATGTCTGAAAAGGAATTCCACAAAAATCAACTCCAAATGGTTGTTGATGAATGTGGACTTGACTGGAGCCAAGCTGTGCCACGCGAATCCCAACGTGCCTGGTCCACAAAAATCAACTCCAAATGGTTGTTGATGAACGTGGACTTGACTGGAGCCGAGCTGTGCCACGCGAATCCCAACGTGCCTGGGCTGATCCCAGGGAAGTGCCTGTTTGCCAGTGGGTTTAACTGGGAGAAACCAACAGGTGTAGCTGCTCACTCGACATCGCATCAACAAAACCAGACGCGAGCACTGACCCTCTCTTGCCTCCGCAGAGCGCTGGGACTCGGGGGCAGGAGCTCAAATTAAGGGAATCTGACAGGGGATGCCCAGAGCAGCTTCTGGCCCTTTCTGCTGTACAAGGACAAGCTGTGGCTTGTACACGTGGGGCCTCGTCTGCGAGGGGTTATGGAGGCAGATCAGCAGCAGGGACAATTTGGAGACACATTCGTACTAGCAGCCGGGGTAGGTTTTTAGTTTTACTAATTAAACTAGCTGCAGAAAGACTAGAAATCAGATTTCAGGGGCAAGAAGTTGCATTTCCAACTCCATAGCTCTCTCAGTAAAGGACTATTCCCCACAGATTTTGTTTTCTGCCACAACAGCAGCAGGAGGTGTTTCCCAATGCATCACAATGTAAGATGAGAGAATCTTAATTTAGACTAAAGTATCAACACTGCAAACAAAACCAGCCTTCCTGAAGAGCAGTAATTGGAAATACTCGCTTCTGTGCAAAGTTCGTCTGGTAATTCTAAGCAGTTAAGTCTCAGGGAAATATTACAGCAAATCAGTATTTTTGCAGCATGATGTTCTACAGGGAGTGCCTTGACACCACCTTTTGCCAAGAGGAAATAATCAGGGAAGAGTTCTTCCTCTTCTCCTTCCTCTTACCACCCCAGAGAGCAAGGGTAGAAAGTCCTCATTAACAAAGAGAAAGCTGTGAGCCAACATCAGAAAGTGGAGCACACACTCTATTTTTCCTGGACAGAGTAGGTGTCCTTTACTGATAAGCAGGCGGATGAAATTGCTAATTACAGCCTGGAGCTAGGAGGACTTTTCTGAGGAGTATCATGCTGGAGCCTGAGCACCTGCTCTCAACAGGAAGAAATGTTTCATCTCCAAAGGACGGACTTTAATCAGCATGGCCACAACCTTTTATGAGGCCAGAGCACCTCTCCAGTCATTGGACCAGACTGATTAAAACCGCTTTGATCTTTTTCCCTTTGTACCAACCTGGCTTTTCCCCTGGTCTGACACATTTCACTTTACAGGAGGCTTTTGCTTCGATTTTACAATCCATTTAATAGCTCAAACTCCTAAAGAGACCCTCTCAGAACTAGAGTACGCTACCATAAAATATTACAACAGGAGACACCACAGCAGTCCGCTCTTTCACTGCCCTGTGCGACTGCAGGCAGACATTTGTTCCCTTGTTACGACTTTCAAGCACCCTGCTTCCTCCTTCCCAGCCACAATCAAACTCCAGAGGCCCGAGACTCTTTCCAATGCTTTGCTGAGGGTGTGTGGAAATAGAGGACGCTCTGACCGAGTAACGGCATCAATCAGGTTTCTTGCTTAGATCCCCAGTCTCAGGACTCCTGGGTCTGATCAAGCACATGCTGACCGATGTCTCTTTTCTGCAAAAAGTCTTACACTGAATTCAAGAAGCAAAGATACATTTCATGTTCTGCTGGTGAGAAGGAGAGGAAGAAACTGCTGAAACATGAAACCTCTTGCTGTATTTATGTGTAGTTTTGATTAAAGAGCTAGAAAGCGAGGCACAGACAACCCCGGCACACTTGTTTCACACTGTTCCTGGGTACAGCAGGATGCTGCAGAGTAAAGCATGACCTTGGCACACAGAAAAGGAGTGCCCAGTACCTGACTAAAGGAAAGATAATTACTGCACAGTGCCTGGCTATCAAACTATTCTAGTGAACTGGCAACACTTTATTTCCCCTAATGGTCACAAGAACATTTGTTCCTGAAGGTTTTTCAGAACGATCTGGCAGGTAAAGCATCAGACTGGAGCCAAGAGGAGGAGCTCTGTAATGAGTTTTTAACTTACCTGCTGCGACCTTCAGACATTTGCTGCACCTCTTTATCAATACTCGATGGTCGTCCTTCAGAGTCCAGGCTCCCATGCAACACAGTAAGACCCACCAGCATTCTCACAAGTTGGCAGGAACAAGACTGACTACAGACTTTGGAGTTAAATAAGTGATTTTACTTTCAAGTGTCACAGTGCCAGACTTGTAACTCAAGCTAATGGCAGAATATACAGACAATATTCAATACAAAGAAACTCAAGCACCTGAAAATTATCAGCCAGCGCTGCACAGCCAGAGAATTCTTCTTACAAGGTTTAACCCCTGGACAAAGGTTAACAACACACCAAAAAATGCATTTTGTTCAACAAGAACACAGTTACACAGGTCTAAATTACTGATTCAGGCTCTCCTTTTAAACCTGGCCAGCATCTCTCTCCCCTTTCTACTTCACAGAGGGAAAGCTCTCTCACCAAATACTACCCAGATAAAAAAGGAGCATTAACGTGCCAGCTTGAATATATTTTTAATAACTTAGCACGGATTTAAGACATGGCCATTTAATGTTGGAATAAACTCTGAATCCATGTGGAGAGAGCAACTTAAGAGAACTCCAACGAGATACTGATGACCTACAACTCACCAAAACAATGTAACACATTGACAGGAAAGAACAGTTAAGGTATGGCTAAGAGCTGTACATTCCACCAGAAGCTCAGACATCACTATCAGCACTTCCAGTACGCTTAATACCTTCTCCCACCTCTACCCATTGATGCGGTAGTTCACATGGATTTCAGGTTTGATGTCACACACCAGCGACAAGAGCTGGGAGAGGACCACCTCGCGGTTCTTCTGGAAGTTCTGCTGGATCACACTCATCTTTTCGTGGGTCTCTTTCTCAACTTCAGTGGTGCAGCTCCCGTGAGATCCAAGCGCCTACAATACAGCAAAGGAAAGAGAAAGCTCACGTGCAAGTAGTTTGATAAAGAAAGTACTGTGCCTCACTCTGTCTTTTGTTATTCCAGACTGCCTCAGTGCTTGTCAACCATTAATCTTTGCTCAGGGAAGAACTGCACTTAAAAAAAAGTACTCTTCAATTCTGTGCTCAGATTTCCCACTACTCTTGCCTAAGTCTGTATTTCACCCCAAAGCCATCCTCTTTCATTCACTATATATCAGTGTAGAGCACAAAACTCTGAAGAATGTCTGAAATAAAGGTGCTGCTGTACTGGCAACTGAAACCGGCAACCCCTGGGCACTGCTGTACTAGCTAGTGTTAAGAAAAGTAAGACCCAGGATTTAAGTTAACCACAGTCTTCACATCCCATTGCTTCTACCCTTGGAGAATCTTTACAAAAACCTGACTTTCCAACAAGGCCATGGGCCACGTGGTACGCAGCTTACAATGCCCTTCTTGACCCATAAACAAGGCTAGAAAGAGCAAATTCTCACTACATGTGGGAGAAAAAAGGCACAAAAAATTATGCTGAAATAGACTAGCACCCTGGGACTCAACTTCAGAGAGCTTCTTCTGTCTCTGGGACAGATAAATAAACCAAAACCAGCTGACAGGCAGTGGAGTCTACTTTATTAGCCTGCAGCTGCCTGGTACCACGTGCTTAGAGAGCCAAGCTAACAAGTGATTGTAAAAAGTTAATCTTGACCTACTGACATGGAGGCTACTACGCAGAACAGAGGATGTGGCATTGTGCAAACCAGAAGGTGGACAGAGGGGAAGGTTGCCAGGTCATTTTCTGAAGATTTCAGAACTGACAGAGGCGCCCAGGCAGTGGGAAACAACTTCACCTGGGGAAGGGCCTCAGATCTGCGCCTGCTGGCAACACCTCCTCTCGCTAAGAAGAAAAACACACCCCTTGGGCAACACCACCAAGCGAAATACAAGCCTTACACCTGCTTCAGCAACAGAGCAGCACCTACAAAGCAAGCAGTCTCTACCATGTTAGCATTGTAAAAACAAGCTTCTACTGGAGGAATGAGCTTCGTCTTTTCTGACAACGCTATGTAAAACAGGTTTTGGGAGGCTGCCACCTGTGAGGGCATCAGCCAATATACGAGCTTATTAAGCTAATTCACTGCCAGTCAATAGTTCTGGCTGTTAAGATCCATCGCATTCGGATTCAGTTCCATCAGTTTTTCCACGACACGTGGCTGTGCATCAGAGGAAGGCAGTTAGGGAAGTACTGCTCCACCAACACGTTCCACCCCGAGGGCTGCTCTCAGGGCAGTAATCCCAAAGGCAAGGCTAAGAGGGTGGGTAGGCAACGGTCAATGATCTCGAAAACAAACCGCAGCTTCCTTGGCTTTGAACTCCTTCTCCCTCTGCAGGCGGTACTGCTCAATCTCTGCCTGGGCTTCTTCTTTTGCCTGCTTCAGCCTCCGATTCTTCCCTGTTTCCAGAGAACATAAATTAAAGAAGAGAAAGTATCGACAGCACATTTCCCCATCTCTCCAGCTGCCTGATGCACAACTATTACTACAACGTTTGCTATTGCCTCTGTCTGCAGGAGGCCTCAGCAGGCACCCACCGCCTCGTAGCCCCTCCAGCTGCGGGGTGTTGGCCAACCTCATGAGCACGAGGTCATCCGTGGGCCAGTAAACCATGGCCAAGCTCACTGGGCCATGAGCTTCCACCAGTGGGAACCAGAGAGTTTCTCTGAGCCAGTGGGTGCTTCAGGCAACTGGTGGGTCTGGCCTTGCTCAGGAGAGCGGGCAATCTCCCCAAAGGGCCCAGCAGAATGAACACTTAGGCTCAGCTTCACCTCGGGCCTATTGTGCAATAGAAATTGCACAATTAACAGAAAAACTGACTCCTGCACCGACTTCTCCCCTCAGACTTGCCACCACATCCTCCCCTCTGCGGTCACCATCATTAGAGCGAGCTACAACACCCAACTTCTCACAGAACTGTCAGGGGGTAGAAGCACAACACAGCACAGCTTCATTTAAGTAAAAAAAAGTGCTTTGTAGAAGTACAGCTCTTTGTAACCAGGACTTCTCTCGCATAGGAAAACCTAACTTGGCTCCTCAAGCAGTAGCTCCCTCAGCTCTACAAAATGTCTAATCACCTACACGGAAATTCACTTTTCATGAAGACTAAAAGACAAAAATAGAAGAGAAGTAGGAAGGACAC